TAGAATCCAGAGTCATAGCATGGCAGGTCACATAGAATCCAGAGTCATAGCATGGCAGGTCACATAGAATCCAGAGTCATAGCATGGCAGGTCACTTGAAATCCAGACTGAGGAAGCAGAGAGAGCTGAAAGCTAATGCTCAGCTTGATTCCTCCTTCCCATGCAGTCTCAGACGCCAGCTCCTTTGATTTTGCCACTCATAGTCAAGGTAGGTCTGCTCATATCATTTAAATCTCCCTGTAAACACCATGACATACCCAGAGGTTTATGACCTAGGTGACTCCAAATCCCAATCATGATTAACCACCACACATGAGAATCAGTTTACACAAGTCTAAGTGTTTTAAAAGTCCAAAGTGAAATCTACATGACTTCTTCCAACCCAAGGCCAGGGATCATTGAGTCTCACCCTTGCTGCTCTGCATTTGTACCACAGTTGCAGTGTGGGAGTGGCTAGACACAGGATAGCATGCACTGTGACCCAGTGAGGGACATGCATGGTTAAAACAGGGGGGTTAATCAGACCAGGCAGTTAGAAATAAGACAATAGATGAATTTAAAATATATTCAGTAAGGATTTAAAAATGCTGTCAACATCATAAACATTTGTGGGGTTTTCTTTTTAGAATCTCAAACTCCGCATTATTTCTAAAAATACAGTCATTTTCATTATTTACATTGTATTTCATCAGTTTTATCTTTCAAATACAACACTGTAATTTTTCTGTGTAATCTTCTTGTATAAAAGACAGTTTTATTTCAATAATATGTATAAGTTAATCAGATGTTACATGGCTTCTGAGAGAATTTTTTTTAAATTCTAGGGACATAATTATTTTAGATAGGAATAATTCTTGTAGTCAGTCATCTAAACAATAACACAATTGGCAAAGCAGAAAATAATTTTTGAGAAAATGACTTATGTATTACTATGATAAAATCTAACAAATGAATGTCTCAATTTCTCAGTAATAGCAGGGGGCTGTACCATTTTTCAACCTAATTTTCACCTATGATTATTAATATTCATAAAAATAAATAGAGGCTAGTCTTCTAAACCAGAAATTAGATAATAGAATATGTAATTTCTATTCACTGTGAAGGTTTTTAATTTTATCCCTATCTTTTCATATCAGAAAGCATAAGAGAGCTGAGGGAACATAACTGAAAGTTTTCCCTAGTGAAAACACTATTCTGATGAGTGCTTTTCAAAGATTTAGGGGAAAAAAAATTAGGAAGTCATAAGAATCAAATCATTGTTTTTACCAGTACTGTTTTTAAGAACTTTGTGATTCTCTCTGTTCTAGATCATGGTCCTCATACTTACAATTCAGTATATGTAAAGTGTGTGCCATCACTGTTCTTTTGTGTTGCTGTGTTTTGATTTTGTTGTTAATTTTATTTTTGGAACATCCTCTTCAGTCTGGGTTACTAACAGGGAGGATTTTGTTGTCAGTAAAAGTCTATAGAAATATCTACAACCACAAAAGCAAACAAAATGGTAGAATCAGCTTTTTTCTATAACAAAATGAACCAAGAAATAGACTAATCAGGATTCATTGTTGTAAAACAGGTCTTATGTCAAATAGAGTTTGTTTAAGATACTCTTTGGAGTTTAAGTCATAGAAAATTTATTGGAAACATTTTAGACACAGACCATCAACTTAAAGATCGGTTATTTAGTAGACCACCAGACACAAAGGGGAAATGAAAAGAAAAAAGACAAAAAGAATTCTTAAAATGATGTTATTCTTTTTTAAGTAATAAGTAAAAGAAATAGAATTTCCAAAAAAAGGAACCCATTGTGAAGAGCTTCAGGGAATTGTATGAGATTGCTGTGTTTTCTTGTTAGTAAGGAAATCATTTCCAGAAGGTTATGATTCTGAAAGTAAAAGAAAGTTCTTAGACAGGGTTTTTCTGTGTAGTTTTGTGCCTTTCCTGGAACTCACTCTGTAGACCAGGCTGGCCTCGATCTCGCAGAGATCTGCCTGCCTCTGCCTCCTGAGTGCTGGGATTAAAGGCATGCACCACCACCACCCAGCAAGAAAGTTCTTACAATCTAACTTGACAGTGAAAGTATTGCAGAAAAGCAGAGACACAATTAATCAGGCAAGTTCATCTCTTACAAAGAACCATGATCTCTGAGTAGTGTGACAGTGATCCAGGTTCTATAGCTGCATGCCTAGATTTGTCCTGATTCATGACTTTTTTTTCCCTTTAAAATACAGCCTTGCTCAGTTTACAAATACACATGTAAGATGACATTCTATTAAGTTATCAACTTTCCCTTTGATTTTTATTCATAGACACATTTGCATCAAATACACTCTGAACTTTCACTATTGTGTATCACCATGTTATTTATGAATTGACAGAGTTTTCATAATTTTTCATCCAAATTATTAATATTTAAGGAAAATTATGGAGTGCAGAAAAGAGAAGGATGGGGGTTGATGATGGGTTGGTTCTGTTTTAGATAAATTACATATAAAAGAAAATATTGAAGTAACAATTCATACAGAAGATAGTATAGAAATCAATTTTTAATAAAGAGAATAAAGTGTTTTTAGTTTTGTGTTTCAAAATTCTAAAATGACAATGAGTGGCCTGTATTCTATATCAAACAAAATGACTTAGGTGGTGGGTGCTGCATTTTGCAGAGAGAAAATTCGTGAAAGTGTGATTTTGACCTCAGTTTACTACTAGTTTTTGTTGAGCCTAACGTACATGCTACTCCACTCATCCTCTTTTTATAAATGTTGGTCCATGCTCTGCCTTATGATCTTATAGCTATTTTCTGAGCCTGTAGTTAGAGGTTTTTCTGTGTCTTGCCCAGTTCTGCAGGTGTTTATAAAATAATCAGTCAGAGGCTTAATATTACTTATAAATGCTTGACCTATGGCTTAAGCTTAGTACTAGCTAGCTCTTACTTTTAAATTAACCCATTTCTATTAATCTAAGCATTGTCACATGGCTATGGCATTACCAGTCTGCTAGCATCTTGTTCCTTGGGTGGCTGGATGTTGTCTACCTCTGACTTTACCCTTCCTCTCCCTGTATCTCTGCTTGGATTTCCCACCTGACTCATCCTGCCTTGCCATAGGCCAAATAAGCTTTATTTATTAATCAATGGGAGCAACAGATATTCACAGTTTACAGAAAGACATCCCACATCATGGGTTCACAGAAACCATGCTCAGAGCATTCTTGCCATGTGTCTGCCAGTCGCTCTGCTACAACTCAGGACAGAGAATTCCTTATGTCATCTTTTATCTTCAGAGCATTCCCTCTGTGATATGATGCGTTATTCCCAGGAGCACTGTCTTGGGTGCTGGTTGTCACTGTCCATCTTATTACCTTTAATCTTGCTCGTACAGGGTTATTTCTGAACAAACTAATCGGGAAGCCCACTCTATTCTTTTTTATGATAATTTTCCTAGTTAAATTATAATTACATTATTTCCCTTTCCTCCCCAAAGCACTCCCATTATCTTATCAATGAGGTTATGGAGGGGGTTAGAAAACAAAGCTCCAAAATGTGATGCTTGGGAGTGCTAAGAGCTTTAACAGAGGGATGTTAGAGACCAGCCTCTTTCTGGCCTATTTCTGGCCTTTCTCCTCTTCTTCTTCTCTTTCCCCAAGAATCTAAGAACTGCTATGCCCCGAGATGACTCTCATATATTAGTACCCTGTCCTGCAAAGTCAAAAATACTACATTTACTTCCATCAACTCTCAGTGGAAGAGCTGACCACAAGGAAATTTTTTGGTCTATCTTATTTGATGGCAGAAAATGAGATCCTCCTTTCATAAGGAGTCCACAGCATGTTGGGATGGAAGGAATTTCGCACAGAGGGAACCATGAAGAACCCCACTGATGGGCCATGACTGTCTCTCTCATGATCTGTTATCCTTAGGTCATACCCTCGGTGTCAATCACAGTCAATGGGGCTGCTATGCTCCGTTACACCTAAGCACCAAACACTTTTCTGTGGCTTCCGGCCTTGATTTGTAGAGGATCCCATGCCCAGTAAATTCTGATTAGTGGGTATTATATACCGTTAATAAATAAAGTTGCGCAGGGGTCAGAGCTATTAGCAAGCCATAGGAAAGCAGGGCAGTGGTGGCGTACGCTTGTAATCCCAGCACTTGGTAGGTAGAGCTAGGTAAGTCTCTGTGTGTTCAGGGATACAGCCAGTATTGGATACACATGCCTTTAATCTCAATACCAATTATAGAAAACCTGGAGGTCTACACAGACAGGCCGTGATGAGGCGGTCTTGTGGTTGGGTTTACAACCAATGAGAAGGCAGAACAGAAACTCTATATAAAGACTTTAACACAGGAAGTAGCTCTGGTTCAGAGAGGTAGGACCTCCACAGGAGGAAGGGTAAGGTTTTAGCTCTTAGCTCTGACCTCTTAGCTTTCTTCTTTGCATTGGTTCTGTGTTTCTTATTTAATAAGACGGTTGGTTACATCTGCAATATACTTTTTCTCTTTCAGCCTGCCTTTGTTATAGCTGTGGTGGCCATGCATCTTGGGACAAGGAGAAATGCAGTCATAACTTTCTGCCCCTACAATTGAGAATCTCTGACTCCTTGGAGAAAAGAGAAGATGAGTATTTCTGAATAATATATTTTACTTTTCATATTCTCACTAATGCGATACCAACTAACATTTTTATTTTACAGCTGTTTTTATTTAAGTATGATTAATATGTAAAGACAATGCTAGTTTATCTAGTTAATTTTATTAAAACATTAAATTATTTTATAATTAATTTAGTTAATGGTTAACATATTGCCTTACAATAATAAATTTACATAAATATTTGTATTTTAACTTTACAAAGTTATTTCAAAATTTTATAAAATTTGAAGCTCTTTAAGCCTTGCTCCTTAGGCTCTTCCCCTGCCATGGTCTCTACCCCCATTTGGTTTTAAAATGAGGATATCCAGTATATGTTGGAAGCATGTCATTCATTTTATTTTTCATTTTATATAGGCAAAGGACCTTGTTTAGAAGTTGATTTGAGTCTCAGAAGAAACTTTGCATCTTTGAAGAGTTAGGGAATTTTAAAGTGGGAATTAAATCATTTTGCATCATGGGATGGCCATGAGCCTAAGCAAAGGCAGAACACTGAGGTCTCAATGATTCCCATAGGCCGATGTGCTTCAACACTTCAACTCTGGCTAGTGGTACTGTTTGAAAAGGTTGCAGAATCTTTAGAAGGTGAAAGTTCATTGCTAGAATTTGGTTGTCGGGGTTAGGCCTTGAGGATTTATAGCCTGGTCCCACTTCTCATTCACTCCATGCTTTCTGATTATAGATGCAATGTGACCAGCTGCCTATGTTCCTGCTACCCTACTTTTTCCACAGTGATAGACTGACTCCCTCAGACTGAGCCAGAATAAAGTCTTCTTTGTTTAAATTTCTTCTTGTTGGGCATTTTGTGGGAGCAATGAAAAAAAAGTAACTAATATACTTGTCTGAAAATTGGCCATGACACCATCCTTCCAGATCAAAGAGAAAGAATGGTACAGAGAATTTGAATAGACAGACCTTGGTAGGTTTCCCCGCTCAGTCTATACCACGTGTCAAAATCATTTTTCCAGTCACCTTTCTACACAGCTATCCTTCTTCATCAAACTTACGTGTAAAAAATGGTTCTCCTCTAGTCTTAGGATTTTGAGTTCTTGTTTTAAAGAATTTTTATTGTGAGTTACATAAAAGATTAATCCATGCATTGTTCACATATAATTTAAAAATAATAAACAATAAACATCACCTTAAGAATTAGTATCCTATCAATTTTTCTTCAGTGCTGTTCTAAACTGAAGTAGTTTTCCTTCTTCCCAGAGTTGACAACAGTTAACAATTAAGAGATTTCATAGGATACAGAACTTTACTTTTCTTTTAAATTTTTGAATTACATGCATCTATGGTGTGTGTGTGTGGAGGGGTGCACATGCATGCCCTAATGCGTGTGTGGAGATCAGAGGATGACATAAGCCCAGTTTCACCATGTCAGACCCAAGAATTGAACTCACAGTGTCAGATTTGTCAGCAGGTGTCCTTATTGTTAAGGTGTCTTTCTGGACCTGGATCATCATTTCTGAATACTCCTGAGTCACATGAATTTGCCATGCTAAACTTTGATTCAGCAGAAGTGCTATGCTCCTTCTGAAACTGCCTCCTGTTTTAGGAGTGTCAGCCTAGCCCTTATGACAGGTGAAAGAAAATGCCACAACATTTGTTCAACTATAATGCTTTCAACAATTTCCTCTAATAAATTTCTAATTAATGTTTAAGTAAAAACCTCTGAAAGCAATTATTTTACTGTCATTTGATTCTCTTTCTAGGAAATGGTCTCAAAAGCGACATAGGAAGGTGAATCAATACAAAGGCCTTAGTGATGTGGCCTCAAAGTGTTTCTAGAAAACTGTGTCTATAGCAGTCCCACCCATTAAAGTACATAGGAATGCCTTTCTCAGCGTAGAGATGCACTGCAGACATGCATAGGTATTGATTTGCATCAGAGACCAGGCTGAATCTGTGCTTTTTTGTGCTGTGTCTAAGGGCCAACTTAATAGGACACTCATATTCACCCCATATATTTTGGAGGTGTACATACTTAAGCATATATAAGCAAAAGAAGTAGAATGTTTGCTTTAAAAATACCAATTTATGACTGATATAAAATAAAGATGTGTGCTGTGCAGTGGCTGAAGTTTCAGAGGTAAACTTTTCTGATATTGAAGTCGGTTTAATTCAAATTTTCTATTACTAGTAAGATTTATCTTTTATATTCCAGTTTTAAATTATTTCACTTGTTCATTTTCTAGTAATAGATTTCTCTCCATTTTTTCAATGACTATTTTTCAATATTCAATTTCAACTGAAAATACTAATACTAATACACACACACACACACACATATGTGTGTGTGTGTGTGTGTGTAATATTAAGGGCCATTTCAGGATTAGTATAAGTACCTAAAATACTGGAAACTTCCTAAAATTATACATATAATTATATATGTATAAAGTTTAAATTATATATATATTATATATATATAAAGTTTACATTATATATGTCTTCTTTAAAAGTGTGTTTTGTGTGTGTGTGGAGGTGATCTAAAATCACCAAATAATGGGGGAGACAAAGCCTCATTAAGCATTTCTTGTCACCAATCAAAACTCCTGTTCCTGGTAATAGGTTACTTCTAACTGAGTTGTTTGCCAAAGGAGTCCATGAAAATCCCTAAACAACCCAGGCTGTTGTCAAGGCTATAGGTTGCTCTTTACACACTGATGGCAAGGCCCTAGTACTAAAGACAGCAACTTCACAACTCATTGAACACAGAGATGTTTTACTGGTGTCAACATAGACCCTTCACCTCTACATCTAGCATCTTTGGTACAGGGAGATAACTCTCCATGCTACCAAAAGAAAAACGTAAACACCAACCCACCCACAAACCCTTTGATCTATAATGATATGCTTCCTGCAAGATAGGCAAGGGCATGGTTGCACAAAACTTGTTGGAATAACCAACCAATATCAGATTTGAGTTAAGGTCTACTCTATAGATGGAACCCGTACTCAATACTGCTCAGATGAGCAAAAATCTGAGACTAGATATTTCATAGATCTATGGTAAAACTAAGTAATACTGGTCTAAAATAAATGTAGCAATAAAACGACTCATAATGACATTCTGCTATACTCATAGATCAGTGACTTGTTCAGCCATCATCAGAGAAGCTTCCTCTTGCAGCAAATTGGAACAAATACAGCGACCCACAGCTAGACATTGTGCAGAGAATTAGAGATCATTCAACATTCAGCCCTAAATGGGATGTCACCATCAAATCCCTCCACTCAGGGCTCATAGAACCCTGCAGAAGAAAAGACAAAAATAATGTAGGAGCCAAAGGGGATGGGGGACACAAAGAAAACAAAGCTCTCTAGAAATACATGATCAAAGCTCATTTTAACTAATAGAGACTAGGCAGCAAGTCCAGGAACTGCACAGGTCTGCACCAGGTACTTTGCTTATTATGGATTCCAATGCACTCTTTTTATGGATTCCTGAGTGTGCAAATGAGTAGGTCTCTGTTTCTTGTCTCTTCTCTTGGGATCTTTTCCTTATTCTTGTTTGTTTTGTCTAATTCTGATGTGCTTGTTTTTATTATATTATATTGTATTTTAATTATCACTTAGAAGTCTGCTTGTTTTTTAATGAGAGTCTGGAAGGGAGTGAATCTGGATGGGAGGGGGAAGGGGGTAACTGGGAAGAGTAGAGGGATGAGAATACATAATCAGGAAATGTTATGTGAGAAAAAAATCTATTTTCAACAAGAGAGAAAAGATAAATAAATCTTTAAAAATAAAGTTAATTCAAACACTAACAATAAAATAAAGACATAACAATTGTCACATTCACTACCTACAGAGTTATACTAAATTTTGCTAGTTGAGTTATTCTAACAACTACCAAAATCAAGCCATTAGCTTGGGAAACTTAATTAAATTTGCCTTTCAATTGTGGACTTGCCATTTGCATATTCAATCAGACATGAATGGAAAATATTTGAACAACCCCTGTACTGAACATGTACACTAGTTTTATTTCCCATTCATTCAATAAGTGATACATGAAAACTGTACGGCACCTATTCACATTCATTTGCTATTATAAGTAATCCAGAAAATGTTTTAAATTATGGAACTGGATGTATACAGATTGATTATACAGAAAGACTAGGTGACTAGGTGCCTAGGATATTCTATACTAAGTGAAAAATCCTAAGTAGTAAGTGATAAATTCAGAAATGTTATTTTTATCATTAGTGTTGTCATTGTTGATGTTTATGTTGCTTTTGATTTTTTTCTTACATAAAGATCAACTTTTTTTCATTAAGAAATTTTCTACTCACCCTATATACCACCCACAGATCCCACCTCCTCCTTCCTCCCACCCCTCAGCCCTCCCTCCTAAGCCACCTCCCCATCCCCCACATCCTCCAAATCTAGGTCTTCCATGGGGAGTCAGCAGAGCCTGGCACACCGAGCCAAAGCAGATCCAAGCCCCTCATTGCCACCTTGGTGCGCAAGGTGCCACACTGCAGGCAACAGGCTCCCAAAAGCCTGCCCATGCACCAGGGATGTATCCTGATTCTGCCCCACTCCCCATGCCAAGGGGCCTAGTCCAGTCCCATGGGGGCTTCACAGACACTAGTCCACAGTTCATGTGCCTCCACCACTGTGGCCGGTCATTTCTGCACATCTTCCCATCATGATCTCCACGTTCCCCTCCCCGGCCTGCAGAATCCCTCCTCTTTCCCATCAACTGGGTTGCCAGAGCTTAGCCTGGTTCCCGGCTGCAGATCCCTGCGTCCGCCTCCATCAATCACTGGATAAAGGCTCTATGATGACAGTTAGGGTATTCACTAGACTGTTCACCAGAGCAGAACAGTCCAGGCATCCCCTTGATCACTGCCAGCAGTCCAAGGTGGGGTCATCCCCAGAGCTTCCTCTGCACCCTGCCTCTTCCCACTCCCATGATGTCTTCATCTATCACAGTATCTCCTTCCCTGCTCTCCCACTCTGTCCCTGCTCCAGCTAGACCCTCCCATTTCTCTATGTTCTCACGCCCCCATTCCTTGCCCTCCGCCACCCCCACCCCACCCGCAGCCCACTCATGAAGATCCCATCCACTTCTACTTCACTGGGTGATCCCTGTGTCCCTCCCAGGGTCTCTCTCTGTTAGCTAGCCTCTCTGGAGCTGTGGGGTGCAGTCTGGCCCTCCACTGCCCTACATCTAGTATCCACTTATGAGTGAGTACATACCATGTTTGTCACTCTGAATCTGGGTTACCTCACTCAGGATGATATTTTCTAGTTCCATCCATTTACCTGCAAATTTCATGATATCATTGTTTTTTACTACTGAGTAGTACTCCATTGAGTATATGTGCCACATTTTATTTATACATTCTTCAGCTGAGGGGCATCTAGGTTGTTTCTAGGTTCTTGCTATTATGAACAATGCTGATATGAACATAGCTGAGCTTGTGTCCTTGTGGTAAGATTGAGGGGGGAAAAAGATCAACTTTAAATGATCTGCATTATTTTTTAATTATTTTTCAACTTTTCTCAGTTTGTAGTGTTCCATGGTACATCAAGGCAAAAAGAAATAACTCCTACTAACAGTTATTATTTTGGCCCGAAACATTAGTAAGTATGTGCATCCTACTAAAGATTTAGTTGCCAGTCAATGACATCACACATTGAAAACATTTGTAATTTTGTCTTTATATAACTTCCATGTCAACTAGGTATACCTGCATACTGTGCCTTAAGTGTTAGCATCAAATCTGACACCACACTCTTTCTTCTTATCACAAATTTGATTTTCCACTCTTTGTTTCTGTCAAAGATATTATTGAGATAAAAAATATGTGATGCAAATGAAACCATTTTAGCTCAACACAAGAGGAAAGTGTTCCTAAACACAGTGGTGTGTGCTGGTGCTGATTTTTGTATATTTTTCTTTAAACCTAAAATATATTATGGTGCCTCTATGAATTAGCTGAAGTATCGTAGGTTTGCCTGATAGAGTCTGTGAATGGTGGAGTAGGATCATTTTACATTAGTCTTTTTGTATATATAATTTTAATCTATATTTATGACTGTCATCAATTTGCAAATATATTTTCCTCTAATTATAAACCCTGGAAACATCATTATAAAGCTTCTTGCTAGGGGACTGGAGAGATGCCTCAGTTTTAAAGAGCATACATTGTTCTTCTTGAGGTCTTATGTTCAGTTCCAAGTATCCACATAATGCAGCTGACTACATCATGTAGTCAGTGGACCAGACACCATCTTCCAGCCTCTGTGAAGACTCACACTCATGTATATGTACACAGAGAAGCACATGCAGCTAAAACTATAGTATTTTTTAAAGCTTCCTGTCTTTGGGTTTGCAATATTGACTGATTACCCGAGATCATCTCTTCATATCATATTGTCTGTTCTCCTCAATTTCCATGAAATCTGCCTGTTTTCACCATCCAAAGCTTTTTTACCAGGAGCAAACTATCCTCATGTGTTATCTTTGAACCCTAAAGTATCTTTAAACCCCCCTCCCTTTTTTCTAACCCCAATTAAAAACATTACCACAGCTTTCTTTACACAGATTACAGGTAGTTTTACTAAGAGCTGTTACTGTTAAACACTCAGGTTAAGTGCATGTGATTGAAGTATTGTATCACTGCTACTATGGATAATTCAGAGTGATTACATTCACACATCTATCGAGGGGAGTTATTCCAAGTTTTCTAGCTATATAATCATAATTTTTTAAACAATAGGATTTTATTCTTTTGTTCAAATATTTATAATTCACTTTCTTATAAGAGAACTTCAGAAATGGGATAACATCTCTGTCTTGAGTTTCTTCCTGAGTTTAACCTGTTACATAATATTTTCTTTTTATGCTGCAATATTTTGTCATTCTAAGCAGGTTTATGTTTATGTAATGTTAAGATTTATGACTCACAAAGCCTTTTCAAGTACTGTTGAGATACTTACAAATGTACTTTTATTAAGAGTTGGCTTAGCCTGGTGGTGGTGGCACACGCCTTTATTTCCAGCACTCGGGAGGCAGAACCAGGCATATCTCTGTGAGTTCGAGGCCAGCCTGGGCTACCAAGTGAGTTCCAGGACAGGCACAAAGCTACACAGAGAAACCCTGTCTCGAAAAACGAGAAAAAAAAAAGAGTTGGCTTAGTTTGTCTTATATGTTCTTCTTTTCATCTAGTGGGAAAGAATGGCTTAGGAACCAGTATTCAAACCCCAATTCAGACTGACTAAAGGTGCCTGTTTGGGCAGCTTATTCTATGTCTCTGGGACTCAATCCTTTCACCTGTAAAATAGTAGAAGTAACTATATAACTTGATGTATGAAAATTCTTAAAATAACACATGACTCACTTTAAATACTTAATAAATTTTAGCTGTCATCATACTAAAATAAACTTGTTCCTGATGAGACTATTAAAGAAATTATCTAATATTTCATATGGCATATTTTATTTAAATTATTAAATTAGTATGATATATTTTTTAGAGATTTTGCACCTGTATTCATTAGGGCCATCATCCTATAATTTAACTTTTTGAGTTTTCATAAGTTTAATATTAAACTTTTGTGAGTATAATAAAGCATCAACCAATTTGCTATCATTTTCTATCCTCTGTATAAATTTGTAACACAGCAATTATTTTGAAGGTGAAATAGTTCAAAAGTAAAACACTGTAGCCCCAAAGCCATTTTCAATGGTGAGTTATGTCATGATTTACTGATTAAAGCTGTGTGCAGCCTCTGAAACAAGTCTTACTTTTATAATTTTAAATAAAAAAAATCTATTGAATTTATTCCTTCTGTTTAGAATTGCATTGTGTTTATATCAACTCAGTGTTATCTGTATTTGCTATTTTATAACACAGATAAATTCATTTTCTCCTTTCCATTCCATAGGAAAGGAGAGGAAGGGGCCAGCCATCCACCTGAGCGATGTGTGAATGATGTGGAATAGTCCACAATGTATTCTAAGCACACTTAACTCATGACTGACTGAGGCCTGAGGAATCCAATGGGGTAGCAGCTGGTCTATCAGCCTGGGCACTTTCTTCAAGGAGAGAGTGCAATGAAAGCAGAACAGGAATTGCTACATCCATGGTCTACGCGTGGACCACATGGGATAGAGACAGTGGGTTCATTTTTAAAAAGAGACTCCCAGAGAACTTTTTGACAAGGTGAGTCATCTCAAAAGACTGCTGTGCACAGGCTGTCTAAACTGACAGGACTTGTCAGGAATGCTCTGCTGATAAATAGGGTATAATATTCAGCCTTCTAAGGGAAAAACAAATGCCTATTCACATGTATACTTAAAATTCAACCTACTGATAAATAGGATGGGCAGGACATGGCCTCCAAATAACCAATAAAAAGAGAATGCAAGTTCTATCTTAAAAACAACAACATTCTCCAGCATTCTTTCTTTCACTGTTATCCATCTCTGATTTTTTAAATTCCTAGTTAGCCTACCATCGCAGTGGGTAAATAATATATATCCATTATGAGTGCTCACCTCATTTACAAATAAAGGCACTATGTGGGAGCCTCACTCCTTAATGACATATTAGCCAATTTGCTAATTGGATGTTACTCGTGGTACAATGACAAAAAACTACAATACACTGTGTTCCTTATTGTTAATCACTTCTATTACTTTCTTAAGTCTATAAAATTAATAAAAACAAAAGGCAAAGCTTTCATTTATACTACCTGCCTAGATGCCTGCTATGTTTATTCCACTGTTACCATATTCTAGCTATCATTATTCCACTGGTGAATGGAGAGTCAGGAGGCATTTTACATTGTTTGATAGCTCATCATTGTACACTTAATCTTCATTATTCATGGATCCCTTATTTTAGAACCACCCCACTCAGCAAAGAGAATATTTGGTGCTTCAACAGCAATGTTCATAGCCCTTCCATGACCATTCAGGGATATCTATTACATAGCAAATTTTGAGATTTCCAACATTCCTACACTTAACTAGGCTCAAGAAGACAACACTGATCTCCTGTTTTAATTCACACATCTGGAACAAATGCCATTTTAATAGTGTATTTATGCTTTATTTTTTCGCATTATTATGTTTTTGTTGGAAGTTCATTGAGTGAAGTGATTCTGAAGCATAATTCTAAAATGCTGTCTAATGTTCCCAGAACAATAAATTTATAGTGTGTTTTATACAAGTGTTAGATAAGCTTCTGTTACGCATGAGTTATGGTGTTATTGGCGATGAGTTCAATGTTAATGAATCAACAATGTATATTAAATGGATGTATTTAAGCTGAAACACACATAAAAGAAGTGATATTGATCTCTTGATGAAAAGGTATTGATTAAATACTTTAAGAAACCTAACTTTGTATTTCCTCTAGCAGCACAGGTTCAAATATTCATTAATTCATTTTCCATCTGACTCTGTGGAACACTATTACTCTGAATAATGACATTCTAATATATAGTGCCTCCACCATAAAGATAAAACAGACATAGAAACTTACAAATAATAGTATAAATCCATAGATTCATAAAATATTATTGATTCAGACTTGATTTTTTTAATTTTAAGTTAATTAGCAGTAAATTTTTAATATTTATTTTTTAAAATAATGCTTTGCTGAATCAAAAACTGGAGAAAGTTTTGCGTTTGGATTTTGTGAGCCTGTGTGTGTTGGGGGGGAGTTGGGGGTGGGTGTTATGGTTAGAATAAGAGGTGGCCCTTAAATGATTATTTGCTAAACTCTTGATCCCTATCTTGAGGATCCAAGCATTAAGAGATGTTTGGATTATGAAGCCTTTGAATTAATGAAATACATTGATTTAATGACATCTTTTGGTGATATTATTAGGAGACAGTGGAAGGTGAGACCTGGATGGAGATATCATTGGGAGTAAGTATTTGATGCATATTTTATCTCTTCTACCTTGCACTCTGCTTTTGTCCTACTGTGAAGTGGGCAGCCTCATCTCCCATATATTTTTTCTCTGCCAGGTATTGTTGCTATGCAAAAAAAAAAAAAAAAAAAAAAAACCTCACAAAGAACAGAAAACAAACAACAACAAAAACACATACTAACAGAGTACAGCAGCTCTTGCACACCACTAAGTGTCAGTCATTGGGGGATCTCCTCTCATTTCACAGGTCAGTCTTTAAGGAAAATAATTGTTTATCTGTCTATACATCCACCTGTGTTTATAAACATGAGAGTCTATCTAGGACGACTAGGGATGTCATCATGGAGAAGATGACTTTGGAGTTAGATATGAGGGAAGCGCAGGGCTGGTTTGTAGATATTTGGGGAAATATTTTTCTAGAGAATGAGAATAATGAGAGCAGAGGCTCTGATATAAATCTTATGACTGGGGTGCCTGAGAAGACTCAAATGGTAGTATCAGGTCAGGCAACAAGTTGAGTCACAAATTTCAGCAGTTAGCTATTTATAAGAGCCAATAAAATGTTGAACTTAATAGATCATGGAAGAGTTTTGTTTTGATTCTAAGTCGTGAGGAGAACAGGTTGTGGGTTGTTCACAATGGCTGTGAAATCTAAATTTTCCATAATTACATCACTTATTGTTTGGGGACTAATACAACCCGTCAAATGTGGGACCTCGAAAACCAGTTAGTGTGCCACATCTGTTTTCTAGGAAATAAGAGACTGTGACTTATTAAGAAATGATGGCAGTGCTATGGGGAAAATAGAGTGTTCCAGCTCTAGATAGGAATCAAAGACCAACGACATCAGACTAGAAGCTGGAATAAACACAAGATAAGTAATCCAAAAATGACTCCAACTACTTTAATATGAACAACTGAAAAATAGTGGAAGACTTCAGACAGTCCAGATACAAGGGCAAGAGGATTGCAGAAACTCAGTCCTAGAACACTATTTGTGATCCAAGTGAGATTTAGGCAGAACAATGTTGGGTGGGCTATGGAAGTGAAGCATTTGTTCATGGGAGAGTCCTCATCTGTGTTTGGGGGCCATTGGACACAGTCAAGTGAATTCACCTGAAGTGAATGCAGATCAATTGTAGATAAAATAGCATGACATCCTCCTCTCTGAGAGGTTAAGAAGATGGATAAAATGTAGAGGGGACAAAGAAGATAGAGCCATAAATGGAAGCTGCAACCTTTCTCTGGAAAATGAGATTCAGATGTTTCAAGGACAGAAGGCTGATGATTTCTCTCATGGAGTCTGGCAATTAATTAAGTTTTGAGAAGTAAGTACAGATGTAGAGATGTGGCATCCCATTAGTTAAGGGCATTTTCCTGGACTTATTGAAGTGGGTGAAAATCTTTAGTAATGGCTTTAAGATGTCAACTTGATACAAGCTAGCATAATGGAATCTCAACTGAGACAATATCCCCATCAGATTGGCCTGTGGGCAAGCATGTGGGGGCATTTTCTTGATGGATGATTGATGTGGGAGGGCCTATCTCATTGTGTCAGTTGCCACCCCAGGGCTAGTGGTTCAAGATGACATAAGAGAGTAGACTGAAGAAGCAAGGAGAAGCAAGTTGGTAAGCAGTGTTCATCCATGGCCTCTGCTTCAGCTTCTGCCTCCAGGTTCCTGCCTTACATTTCTGTCGCGACTTCCCTCAGCAATAGAGTTTGACCTGATAGTTGTTGTTGTTGTTATTATTATTATTATTATTATTATTATTATTACTGCTTGGCCATTAGCTCAGGCTTATTACTGACTAGCTGTTACACTTAAATTAACCCATAATTCTTATCTATGTTTAGCCATGTGGCTTGTGCCTTTTCTCAGTTCTGCCTTGACATCTTGCTTCCTCTGTGTCTGGCTGGTGACCCCTGACTCAACCCTTCCTCTTCCCAGAATTCCCATCAGCTTGTCCCACCTATACTTCCTATCTGGCTACTGGCCAATCAGCATTTTATTTATCAACCAATCAGAGCAACACATATTCACAGCATACAGAATGACACCCCACAGCACTTTCCCTTTTCTGTCTAATCAAAAAGGAAAGTTTTAACTTTAAGGTAGTAAAATTACATATAACAAAACAGTTATCAAGCAAGAATTACAGATATAATATCTAGTCTATTTCTATTTGGCAAAATTAAAGAAAACTTTCTATCAGCTATTCTATATTTGCTAGTCCAAAGTTTTAGATCTAATTTATCTTTTATCATAACCAAGGAAAATTGTAACTATAACTATTTGGTCTTCAACTATATCAAAGATACCAGAAGGATATAATATTACCTAAATAAGCAAGAAGTGAATTGTAAGCAGCTTCCAAAAATTCTGGAAATGGCAGAGACAGCTGCCTCCCTGGACAGTCATCCAAAGTTCCTCTGTGACATTGGGGCATCATCTTCAGCCAATAAGCCTTCCAAATATTCTATAGGACAGAGGGAGAAGTGACTAAAAACTCCTGACCTGATAGTTTTAGGAAGAAACAAACCCTTTCTTCCCTAAGTTGCTTTTGGTCACGGTGTTTGATCAAAGCCATAGAAACCTAACTAAGCATATAAATAGAATAAGGGGTACACACAGAACTGTCCCCACAGTTTTACTATAAAAGAAGAGTTGACGTAGTGATAATGTTTTCCTGCAAATGGGAAAATGTGGAACTTAGCTAGTTTGTTTTATAATAAGAAAAATCATTTAGAATGAGGATCCTGAAGAGTGCAGATCTGAGATGTTGAAAGAAGAAAAAAAGAGTTGATTTAAGAGAAGCCTTTGTGAAAATGGAGCCCATGTCCCCGGTTATTTTGTGTTACAGAAAATTCTCATTCCTGTCCCTCTGTCCCTCCCTCCATTTACACTGAGTTCCCTCCCTCACTTTTTTCCTCTTTTCTTCCCTCACTCTCATATTCCTTTAATATCCTTCTCTTATGTAGGTTGGATTATTCCCTACTAGTGGAAGCTCAGGTCTATTTTTATAATTTCAATTTCAGAGTTTATGAAGAGTATATTTTGAAATACTTTAGCTTTTACTGACTTGGGTGTAAAACTCTAGCGTATCATTTCATTAAATTAAAGCACATATGCATTTTAATAATTAAATATATGCTTTAGTTTTGATATTGTTACAATTGCTCATTTTGCCTTAGGGATAACTACTTTCTTTTTAGAAGTTTATTACTTTTCTTTCAAGTTGTTGCAATTTTGAACCGTTCATTTTTCTTTTTGTCAATATTATATTTCAAATTTCTTGCATCGTTTTTCTTTTTAATTTATGTCATTAAGTTATTGTATTTTGTTGGTGGTGCTGATGGTGGTTCTTGCTTTTGTGTGTCTTTTGCTTGTTTGTTTTTGGAGAAAGGCTTTTGTTTATAGCCCTAGCTGAGGCCTCAAATGTTTGTCCCTCCTGGTTCATCCCTCAGTTGCTGGGATGGGAGATGTGAGGCACCCTGCCCACTTGCTGTTTAGTTATTCAAAGAAAAGATGCAGAGGACTACAACATATTTGGATTACTTATACAATTCCATTCATTCTTTTTCCTTTTAAAATTATTTTATTAATTCTTGGGAATTTTATATAATCCATTTTGGTAATATTGATCCCCAAATTCTCCATGTAATTCCTCTCAGATCCTCTCCTTCCTCCCTTCATCCTATCATTATTATTGCTTTTATTTAATAACTCATCAACTCCAATTTGTGTCATCCATATATTTCCTAAAATGGGTTTATCCACTAGAGTGTAGTTGACCTACCAAAAGTTGCACCCTTAAAGGAAACTGGCTCTTCCTCCTCCAAAAGCTACCAACTGTTCCTACCTTCTCAGTTATATGTGGGGACATACATATCTCTTCCCACTCTGCTAGAATGTTGACTGGCTTGGTATTATACATGCAACCACAGCAGCTGTTAGTTTATGAGTGCAGTAATCCTGTCATATCCAGAAGACATTAGTTTGCTCCAATCCTTTCTAGTCTCTGGTTCTTACAATCATGTAGCCATCTCTTCCACCATGGTCCTTAACCTGTGGGAGGAGTGTGATATAGATGTTCCATTTGTGACTCAGCACTTCTCAGTTACTTATTTTCTGAACCTTGATAAGATGTGAGTTTCTGTGTTAACCACCACTCATGTCACAAAGAATGATTGTCTTTGTGAAATGATGGCTGAGGCTGAACTAAAACACAGATAGATAGGAATTTAGAGAGCATTTGATACTATGCCCATTTGTCAAAATAATAGTATTAAATGCATCCCCGAGTCCTGTGAGTTTCCTAATCATGGGTCCTTAGCCATATTTGCAATATCAGGCATGTGTTTCCTTTGTGAAACAGGATTGAAATTCAGTAAGGATGTGGGTGGCTACACTGATAATATTTGTGCCACCATTTCATCCATGAGTATATCTTGTTATACTGATCATTCCTACACTTCACAAGGTTCACTGATGGGTGAGATCATTGATAAACTAACGCTTCCCTCTAGCAGCTTGCATAGCACCTTCTTGTAACATGTGACCTAGTCAGCAGCAAGGGCTTATTGGTCAGTACCACCTTGATATCTCCATGTCCTGTGATGAATGTTTGTGATGTCTTTAGCAATAGATTCTTACAATCAAGTTTTGGTGGGCAATCATGGGCAATGACAATAGCCTATACTGTTTTGATCTCATCATTGTGGATGACATATATGTTTATTCTCCTTTGCAGCTCTCTGTTCCCATTTAATTGTATCTTTTTTTGCCATATTAACTTTTCACTTAAAATTATCTTAGAATGTCAACTATCTCATCAAATAAATGATTTGGGGATTTACATTATCAGTCTTTGAAACGTATTAACTTCCTTCTTTAGCCTTTGCAGACATTCCACTTTATGATTGTCTTCTTTGTAGTAATTTCTATGAAACACTCTGTGGAGAAACAGACCAACCTACTCCAAACAATTCTTCACATATGAGTGCAATTCTGTAGCTAGAGTTTTCCTGCCTTGCCCACAGTCAGGACAAATCTCTGTCACCCGCCAGTCCCACAGCTGTTCAGACCCAACCAAGTAAACACAGAGACTTATATTGCTTATAAGCTGTATGGCTGTGACAAGCTTCTTGCTAACTGTTCTTATAGCTTAAATTAATCCATTTCCATAAATCTATACCTTGCCATGTGGCTAGTGGCTTACCGGCATCTTCACATGCTGCTTGTCATGGTGGCGGCTAGCAGTGACTCCTTCTGCCTTCCTGTTCTTTCTTTTCTCCTCTCTGTTAGTCCCGCCTATACTTCCTGCCTAGCCACTGGCCAATCAGTGTTTTATTTATTGACCAATCAGAGTAATTTGACATACAGACCATCCCACAGCACTTTCCTTCACTTTTCTCTGTGATTTCAATACTGCTTTAACTAAATGTAATTCGAAACCATTCTATTAGATACATCACTTCTAGTCCAGTTCCAGAACTCTACCAGACATCTGTGAACCTAATAGACATACACATGATATTTTGACAATTAGATGGATATACATTTCATAGGAAACAAATTTCTCAATCCTCCAAAATTGTCGTATCATTTTCTTTCTCATAATATGTAAAGAAAAAAGTCCCCACTATTAATTAATTCTTGGATCTCCTTTGATTTCCTGTTACACCCTTGCCCCTATGTGCCAAGAACTGATATAAATCTCAACCTAGTTCTCTTGCAGCAGTTTATATTCAGCTAGTGGCAAACATTATTCTATAAGTATTTTAGGTAAAAAAACAAATAGCTGCTAGTTGTTCAGGGGTGAATAGTAGTCTAATTTTCTCAAAGTCAGTAATCATGCAGCAGAGAAGTAGATTGCCAATGCTTAGATTCAAATCTTTGTGGCTTTAAAACAGATGGCAATGTACATGATTTATTCTGAATAGGGCTTGGGAGTGATAAAAAATAATTCTTCTACCAGTTTATGAGGAAGATAGTTTCATACAAGTGTTTCATTCACACATTCAATGAACATTAATTGAACCTATCTCATCTATAGATTTCTGAAAATGAAATGTCTCTTGGAAACATCTCTGTGCCCAGGGCATGAGAAGAAGCAAAAGATTCATAGACCTAACCAGGACTTCCAGCCCTTACATAGCACAGAAGAGTATGCCATGGTACCCTTCCTCCATATAAAATGTCACAGAGCTTACAAGATTGAACCTGTAAAGAAAATGATGTAAAACTGAGTGATGTCACTTCAAACCTTCAAATCTAGATACAGAGATTTGTGTTAATAGTCTTTGAAGCAGATTAATGTTCCTTCTTTAGACACTTAGTGACCTCCTACTTCATTTTTCTTGCTTTTTGCTAGTTTCTACATAACATTCTGCAGAGACCAACATCCTCAAAACAAGTCTGCTGCTATGGTGTGTACAATCCTTTTGCCCTTCTCTGTGGCTTCAGGAGTGACTCATTTAAATGTATGGTTGTACCATTTGCATAGATGCAACATTTCTAGTTCAGTTCCAGAACTCTGGCAGATTGCCATCCTCCATATTACGAGAGTCTAATGTATATATTTAAAGGTATATTTAACAGCACAGTTGAATTCAGAAGTTGGGAGAAAATAAAACTAGTTAATGTAAATAAACATTCTGAGACTTCTCATAGGTTATTTATATAGAGTTTTGCAAGTTTTACATGCTCCATAGGGAATTAACAAAACATGTTTCCAGGTAAGTTCTTCATGTGAATAGCATACCCTTTATACCTACCATATACTTGTGCTTTAGTTTTATCCATATCATCTATAGCACTCATTCGTCAATATATTTCTGACAATCATCTATAGGTCTTAATTATTATGGAAAAGGCTATTTTACTCTTTTCCAAAGGTAAGGGTTGTTTTTCTTCTTTCCTCTAAAAACAGATAAAGGGTGGCAGAGTGTGGGGTTTGAAAAATTGAATAAGCATAGGAGAATACAAGCTTACTAAAACTTGAGAAAAGGTCATTAACTATGGGAAATATCTGTGGGAACTGGACATGGTACCTAACATTTTCAAAGTAAACACTATACATAGTCCAGGAAAGAATTCAAATATAAGAGTAAAAAAAATAATAGTAACTTTTGATCAGAGCTACAGTAAATCTCTTTGTGCATGCAGAGTCCAGCAAGTAGAGTGGTTTTCCTTTTCAAGGGAACACTTATCAGCCACCTTCTCTTTGTTGAGTGCCAACCTAGTGACACAGCTGCCCCTTCTCCCCCAGAATGATCTTCCCATACTCCTCTTTGGGGTGAGAGCAAGCAACACAGCAGGGAAAAGTCAGAGAAGGTCTCTAGATCCATGCTTCTAGTGCTTAGGATCTGCCTTCTCTAATGCTTTTGGTCCAAGCAGGTATTCACAGACTGGACAACATGGGTCAAAGACACACGACATCTGATGGAAACACTGAGGCCATATTTCTTATTGGTCTTACCCAATTTTGATTGTAAAAGCAGAAGTAGAGTGGCATCTACAGAATGCTGTTTCATAAAGCTCCTTAGTGAACCAGGGCTCCTCCCTGGAAATTAGAGGCATCTTGTGTCTGTATGATTAGCATAAGCATCACTGTTTTGTAAAATTTAAAGGTTAGAGGAACATTAAAAAATATACTATATCCAAATTTTTATTTTTGAATGTTTTTAAAGAAGTATTATTATTACATTTTAATTGTATGTAGTATATGGGTATGCATGGCATTCTATACCCTGAAGCTGGAGTTACAGACAGTTGTGTGTTGAATTAGGTACCAAACACAGGTCTTCTGGAAGATCTCTTAAGGGCAGAGCCATCACTCTGGCTCCATATATTTAAGTTTTTATATAACTCTATTTTAATGAAGAATTTTCAGAACTAAAGTATACCATCTTAGTGTAATTTTACACCTTAATAAATTCAAAACTATAACAGTGCAAACTTATTTGAAAATCTCATTTGAAAGTTTAATGGTGTGTAATTATTATACATTTTTAGATTTGAAATTTTGAATAAAATATTTTAAATTAAATTTTTTATTTTAATTCTTGTCATCTTCAACTAGAGTGATTAAATTGAAATATTTTTTTAAAAAAGTCATTTTAAATGGAGCTCCTGTCTTAAAAAGCGAAAAAAAAAAATGGAGCTCCAAGGTGTGAAAAGGAGGAGACAAGGGCTACAAAGGGAAAAATGGGGAAAATGAAGGGTTGATTGAACTGGGGAGGGTGGAGGAAGTGCAATACAGTGAAAGAGGGAGGAAGGACAGATAGTAATAATAAGGGTGCTTGAAAACCCATAAAATTCAGTGTGTGTGTGTGTGTGTGTGTGTGTGTGTGTGTGTGTGTGTGTGTGTGTGTAACAGTAATAGTTAAGAAAACTCAATAAAGCAGTTAGGGCATAGATCACAGGAGTAGTTGTAGGCAGGGATGGAGAGCAGGGGAGTGATTTCGGTCCAGTGTTCCTGTATTTGCCCCCAATTCCTTCAAGTTTCCTCAGCCTTAAATGTAGAAGTTGCTTGCATATGAATCAGTTTTGTTGACCATCCCATAGACACCTACCCTCGAAAAAAATAAAGAAACGTGAAGTAAAACTGTAAAATGAAAGTTTTTTAGAAATAGATAACATTATTTAAAAATTATAAAAACTCACTCACTTCTCACTAAACTTAAATATCAATGCTTTGTATAAACTTTTATATGAGCTTTAGCACTTTTGCATCTGAACTCCATTCAGCTCCCCTCCTACCCTGGCTCTTTCGAAAACATGATGTAGGATGTGTTCTGATGTCTCACTAATGGAATCAAAGCTTTGTAATTCTTTCAAAGCTATTATATTTTCACATCCTTTTAGGACATATGACAAAACCTCCACATATTTTGTGAATTATGAAAATTTTTGGTTTCTGTGAGGCTAAAAGTATGTGAAGCTGAGTGAGTAGAAGAAAGCAAGAACATGATTGTGAAGTAAGACTTCCAATGCTGGTACCCAGGGAGGGGTGGGGCTGGCCATTGCTGGCTGGCGGGTCCCAGCTGGCTGACAAAGTACATCCAGGTAGACTCATGAGGAAGATTAGAATGTTCTGCAAATGCACGGTCCTCCCACTCTGCGGGGAGAGTGTGGTTTAGTTGATGTGTGCTTTGCCTGTGGTGTAGCTTGTACTTTTACATCCTTCTACCTGAATTTGTCCAGAAGCAAGCTTGATCGCTTATCATTTTCTGATAAAGACACTTGACTGAATTCCTGAGAAACAAATCAGATTGCAATGTCTGACCTCTGAGAAAATGACACATTCCCTTCTCATGGTATAGAGAAGACAAAATATATTACATTTTTCTAAAAATGAACTTTCACAGAGTTTTGAATGTGGGTGTATATACAATTTTTGTAATTGAAGTCATACTCTATACTATTAACTAATGTAATTACATAATATCCAGGCATAAAGCCAATAGTTTCTAAATGTTTATATAGTGTTATCAAAAATCCTGAAAATAACCCAAACCATTGAATATCAAGAAAGCTATTTTGCTTGACCTGCCATTAAATGGTTCTGGAAATAGAGCCTTTAATGATACATGTTCTGAAATTTTATATTTAACATCTGAAATATATTTACAGTTTCATTCTCTGTAAATAAAGCTGCATCCCTTTTAAATATTTAAATGTGTATTGGTATTTGGGAGAATAAGTTGAAGTGACAAGGGGAGATTACTTCAATTTTTTTTACAGAATCAGAACTATGCCATACACAAAGCAATCCAAACTGATAAATGACCTGCTGATCACAAGATGATTGACAATTCAGTGTTCTCTACTCTAGTGATCAAATCTGTTTATAAAAATATTTTTATTCATTTTTTATTTTATGGGATTATGTGACAGGTATTCTTGATTGTTAATTTGACTGTGTTCGTAATTAAGTAAAAACCATTGGCTTTGTACTCCTAAAAGGGATTGTTTTTCTAAATTAAATCATTTGAAGTGAGAAAACCCACTTTTAATCCAGATCTTTTGATGTGGGGAGATCCAACTTCAGTCTGGGCCATATCTGCTCGTAGAAGCCTATATATAAAAGATGAAAGAAGGACATGCTCACTCTTTGCCTGCTTGTTCTTGTACTCACTGGCAAGGCCACACCTTTGTCTATGTCTATAAGCCTATGTCTCAGGGAGTCTTGTGTACACTGACGACCAATTGCGACATCCATCCTCATGGAACAACAACTACGGGATTACTGATAGACAGTCTTGTTGGAATAGCTAGACTACAGTCTGTAAGCCATCATAATAAATCGTGTGTGTGTGTGTGTGTGTGTGTGTGTGTGTGTGTGTCTGTCTGTCTGTCTGTCTGTCTGTTCTGTGTGTATGTATGTATGTATGGATGGATGGATGGATGGATGAATTTTATATATGTGTGTGTGTTATATTCTTTCTTTATTTTATAATATATTTGGATTCATTCTAAGTTCTGTTTCTTTAAAGAACCCTGACTAATCCAGATTATAACATAATTACACCAGTTCCTCCTTCCTTTTCCACCTTCCAAACCCTCCATGAACCCCACTCTTGCTCTCTTTCAAATTTGTCACCTCTTTTCTCTTTAATAGTTGTTACATATGTATATATGTGTATTTCTAAATATAACCTGCTCCCTCTGAATAATGTTACTTATGACTATGATTCTGGGGCTTAAATATTTACTATTGGATAACCAATTGGTGTGCTTTTCCCTGGGGAGAAGCATTCCTTACTTGCCCATAGGTTTTTTTTTTGGGGGGGGGGGTAGGATTCAAGCCTCATGAGCTTTCTCCCATCCACTTCCACATGTTTATTAGTGTCATGCTTGTTCAGCTCATGGTTGGGCAGCCATGCTGGTGAGGCTTCATGGGTGTAGCTTCTGACATCAGGAGGAGACACAATTTCACAGCAACCTCTCTGGTATTCTGCCTTGTAGGGTCTTTCTGACCCTCTTCTGCAGTGGTCCCTGAGCAGGAGTTCGGTTGTAGAGGTATCTAAATCATCATGATCCCCAATTAATTACAAACATTTGTCCTTATACTCACAGGTAACTGCAGTCCTCATCACAATCAAGGGAACTTTTCTTTTCAATATATGTAATGCATACGAGAAAATCACAAGCCATCAAAGTGCAGAGTGACAAAACCTGTTTGGGACATTTAGAAGAAAATTTCCTGTCTTAGTGTATTCTGGGTTTATTTATTTTTAAGGTAAAATTTTCATAGCCCTAATTCTGTTTCAGTAGATACCTTACTATACCAAGGACCCGGAATTTTCTGGCTATGCACTTTTGTAGTGCAACACACACACACACATCAACCAGAAGAGGTCTAGAGTGAAATAAATATCGGGAAGTAATTATGTACTCTCATTTTTAAAATGAATTAATGAGACATTATTTATAAAGGATTATATCATGGCTAGGATGCTGCTACATTCTGTGAGGAACAGTAAGTTCTAGAGCAAAGAGCCTCAACTGACCAAAAAAAAAAAAATGATCTTTGTGATAAAAATTTCAAGCATTATTTTTCAGGCTAGTGGTTGAAATGATTAAAACTGAGCTGTGAAAGTTGATTTTATTCAAATAAATAAGAAATGGCAGGGTGGGTGAAAAATACAAGGGGCATCTTCTGGTCGGTATTTCATGTGGACAGCTGGATAGAATGTACTTCTTTATTAGTCTTAATAGAATTGCTAGTACATCAGTAATTGTAAATACAGTTTTCAGTTATTTTCAGGTAACATTATGTAGCATTTTAAAATTTTTATTTCTTAATTTTAAAATGTCAGGAAAGATATATTATTATGTTATAACAATGATAAGTATAGTTTACTAAAAAAATCAAATCCAGGTATGAATATCTATATTAGTTCCCTGAACTACCATTATGAGTACCATCTCCTGGTAGATTAAACAATGGACGTTTTAAATAGTTTACTGTCATTTCCCATATTTGTGCTACTCATCATCCTAAAGTCCTCCATTTGTATTTTAAGTAGAGGTCTTTCTCCTTGAAGCTTTAAAAATGGTCTAGAATGTTGTCACAGATACTTGGGCAGTTTCTCATGAAGGGTTTCTCAGAAGTAAAATAAGAGAATAGATCTCTTTGGGGACACAGACACCACTCTGCAGGCTGTTGTTGGTTCTTTCTACTCCATATTGGATTCATTTAGGTGTTCTGTGCAATTAATTTAAATGTTCCAGACTGCTAACACCATATGCTTTATGTGATTCTTTTTCCAAACTATTTCCCAGATATTCTAAATGAGATGAATTATACAGCACAGTAAACAAAATATAAAAAGTGAAAAAAAAAGAACAAGATTATTCCTTTATGTTTGATAAAATTTAGCTGCCTTTAACAAACTAGTCAATGACTTTTTGAAGAAAGCTATTGCCCCCTTATCATCCCTGTCCCTCATAAAGTACAGTGCTAGGTACTGCCATGATGCTTCATAAGTCAAAATGCAGTGTGTTTCTACTCACATTCTTTGAAGAAGTGATTCTTCCTTTTGATCTGGCTTGTCTTATTCTTTTTCTTTTAAAAATGCTCTCTCTCTCTCTCTCTCCCTCCCTCCCTCCCTCTTTCCCTCCTTCCCTCTTCCTCTCTTCTTTCCTCCCTTACCGCATTGTGTGTGTGTGTGTGTGTGTGTGTGTGTGTGTGTGTGTGTGTGTGTCCAAAGAGGCCAGAAGAGGGTGTCATAAACCCTGAAATTGGAAATACAGGAGAGTCTCAGCTTTCAGCTCTGAGTGCTGGTAATAGAACTGGGTTCTTCTGAAAGAACAGATCTACATTTCTTTTGTACAATTGCATTTTACTCCTAGACATACATCAAAGTTAATTCTCTCTTATGTATGGATTCAAAATGAGTATCAGCTACTAGTGGGGGAAATAGCAGGTTCTTTTGTTAGAAGAAGTAACACTAATGTTTGTCCAACACGAAGAAAGCACTCTTCAAACACTTGCTGAATATGTCTTACACTCAGAAGGGGTAATTAATTTCATTTATTTGGGCTCAACAACTATTTCTTTTAAAAAGGACATTTTATTTGCTTAATTGTGTTTAAGTGTTAAATTTGGTAAAGGAAAATGTTTTCTGAGATTGGGATTTTTTCTTTTTTCTTCTTTTTTTTTTTTCTCATGAGAAGTTGAGGATGTCCCATGAAGCCTGAATCAGTAACACTTTTACAGCTCATCTAACAAATATCACTTCTGACTGCTGGTATGAATCATGTCTATGTTCTAATATGAATGTTCTGTAACCATTTAGTCACATTACATCTTTATGCGTGGATTCAATGAACAAAAGACACATATGGCTACCTGCCATGTCCAAATGAGTAAACAAAAGGACGACAATAAAGCATAAACCTGGCAATTTGGATGGTGCCACTCTGTCACTTACAGCCTTTATGAATCCACTAAGACACAGATTCCCGACAGTCGTCCTTAGTAAGAGTGGATGTTCTTCATCACACCAAACTGAAGCATCAAATAGTAAATAAATAAAAATACAAAAGAAAACACTTTGTTTTAATTTCAATCAGCCAATGCTTATAGACAATGGCAGCAACTGATGGTTACAATGTGGGCTATCCATACATCACTGCCTAACGTAGCTTCTTTGGGGTACAGAAAACTTTATCTCTGACTCCAAATGGAGTGAAGGCAAGATACCAAGTTTAAAATTCTCTGTCAACGGCTGTTTTACTAATTATCCAGATTCAGAAGCAATCATACAGGCGTAATCATTCACCTCACGCCTGGAAACATAAGTCTTGTTCTTTTGATGAATATTTATAAGACAGTGTAAAGCAGTCTACTTTCTTTTCCCTCCAGGCAAGACAATTTGGAGTTCATCAATATGTATTACCAAGGACTTTTATAAAAGGCACTTCAAAGAAAATTCATCAGGCATTCCTTTTGTCTTGATTTCTGTTAGACTGATGCTTCCTTTTGACAAGTATCAATAAATTATCCTCTGATGGCTGGAAACTTGATGTCTTATTCAGAAACTTCCTCACACAGCAAAATATGGTCATGAGTTTCAATTGGTATTATTAAAATCCTGCATCTAATTTAAGGACATACAGAAGATATGCAAATAAACAACAATAAAACAAACATATATAGTCACCCTGCAGCACACCGGGTGGATTTCCCATATTTGAGAGCATCTTGCTGTATGCAACTTGTGGTTTTATTATTTGTCATGTGGACATATTTACAATTCCTTCACAAGCAAAGGAAAGCTAAGCCCCCTTTCTCGAGATGGCAGAAAACCACGTTAAATGAAGCCAGATTAGTGTAGCTAGGAAAAGCAGAGAATGACAAGCTGTCTTTCTCCATAAGGCTGATGGGTTTCTCTTTTGAATATTATTGGTTAGAATCACATTTCCATAAGCCAAGGGTGAACATTCGCAATTGTCTAAACTAAGAACGAAAAGAAAACCATCAGTGCACTCTTTAATAGGCTGTGAAAAGGACACTAAACCTCTTTATTTGCATTCTTTCATTTAAAGGGGCTTAGTTATTTTGGTTTATTACTTTGGCAAGGAATATTTGAAATACTGGAATTCTACTGATACCCATTTCTATAAATAAACACATAAAACAGCATGCTGACTAAAGAGTCCATTGTATTTTATAGCTCCACTCACTCTTTACAAAGCTATGGTTCTAATTATAAAAGCATTTCATATTCAAGAAATGATTTTGTCACTACCTGGCATAATATACCATAAATATAATCGCTGAGCTAAATTTTAAGAAGACATGATGGGAGAAAAAGTGTGGCATTTCAGCTTAAGTATACATTTTGTAAACTGACTCTCACACAGCCTTTCTATATGAGTTCATGTACAACAAACATATATAGCATTTGTAAAATTATAATTCACTGTACATAAAAAGCTTGGAATGCACTGCTAATTTTACAATAAAGGAACAAAGAGGTAAAGCTTTTACACTTTCACACGGAATACTTCATGCTAAAAAACACATTTGCAATATAAAGGCCCCATAATATACTGTTATAGTATTAAAGGGATATTGATAAAACATAGATTATATTTAATATGACCTGGTATGGGTGCTAATGCTGGTGGAGAGTTTTGAACTGCATTTTATATTTGAGAGCCCAAAGATGCCATTGTAACTTCATATATTTGTTATTAATTTGTGTGCGCTAAATATATAGAGGAAACACGTTTAATTATTTCTGACCATTTTTGAGTGTTTTCTTTGTTTATTTCTTGTTTTTGAGACAGAGAATCACTATGTAGGCCTGGCCTGGAATTTACTGTCTAGACCAAGGTGACTTCAAACTCACAGAGATCTGCCACCCTCTGCCTCCTGAGTGTTGAGAGTAAGGCCCCCTAACCACAACTCAGAGCTCCGTATTTTTTTTAAAAATTGACATAGGCTTTTTTATTTCAGTTAACTGACAGTAGTGAAACAGCTGGGAGCTGGATCTATGTATCTGGATCTATGCTTATATGCACGTACAGTTTATTCCAGTTTGAGAACTTTATACACTTAATTTTAATCACATTCACTCGTCTCCAGCCCCACCCCCAACCCAATTCACTCCTCATTTCATACCTACCCAACCTTGTGTTCTCATTTTTTTTAACCTGTCTGACTATATATTCTTGGGTGTGTGGCCATCTGCTAGATCGTGTTCAACTATCAGGGAACACAGCCTTAAGAAACAAATTCTCCCTCTCTCAGCAGCTATTGTTCTCAGTAGCTCTTCCGCTAGAGGTGACTACTTTTCCCTCTATTCAGGGATTTTTGCCTGGCTTAAAAGAGCTCCCACAGTTCTTGTGCATGCTGTCACAACTTCTGTGAGTTCATATGCTCAACAGCCCTATTGGGTCTAGAAATAACTGTTTTGCTGTGGTCATCCACACCCTCTGGCTCTTATATACTCTTCCGAAGTTATCCCTGAGCTTTGGGAGGAGGCTTGTATGATATATATGTCCCATGTAGGGCTGAGCACCCCATAATTATTTATTCTCTGCACTTTAATCAGCTGCTGGTCTCCATGTTAATCAGCATCTACTACAAAAAAGAGAAGTGATTCTCTGATGTGGGTTGACAATTGCATTGATTTATTGGTATAATGATAAAATCTCAAAGAGTCTGTTGAATACTATGTCTCTTTAGCAGAATAATAGTAGTTGTTTCCTCTGTAATGCCCCGAGAAGACATGGCAACCGGGAAGTCCAACTACTTCAAGATCATTCAACTTTTAGATGATTACCCTAAATGCTTCATTGTGGGAGCAGATAATGTAGGCTCCAAGCAGATGAAGTAGATCCACATGTCCCTGCAAGGAAAGAGTGTGGTTCTGATGGGCATGAACACCATGATGTGCAAGACCATCCAGATGCATCTAGAAAGCAACCCAGCTCAGGAGAAACTGGTTTGATATTTCAGGTGGAATGTGGGCTTGGTGTTCATTAAGGAGGACCACATGAAGGAAGACCTCACCAAGATTAGGGACATGCTGCTGGCCAATGAGGTGCCAGCTGTGCCCATGTTGATTATATCCCTACATAATGTCACTGTGCCCGTCCAAAACACTGGTCAGGAGCCTGAGACCTCTTTCATCCATGTTTTAGGCATCACCACTAAATCGCCAGAGGTACCATTGAAATTATGAGTGATGTGCAACTGATAAAAACTGGAGACAATGTAGGAGTGAATGCAGTGCTTAACAAGCTGAATATCTCCCAGTTCTCCTTTGGGCTGTCATCCAGAAGGTTATTAACAGTGACAGCATTTACAACCTGGAAGTGCTTGACATAACAGAGCTGACTCTGCACTCTCACTTCCTAGAGGGTGTCCAAAAGTTGCGAGTGTTTGTGTCAGACTGGTTACCTGACTGTTGCCTCAGTGCCACATTATATCATCAATGGATACAAGCAGGTCCTGGCTTTGTTTGTGGAGACTGAGCACACCTTCCCACTTGCTGAAAGAGTCAAGGCCGTCTTGGCTGATCCATCTGCATTTGTGGCTGCTGATGGTATGGTGCGGCCACCAATGCTGCTCCTTCTTCTGTTGCAAGCCAAGGTTGAAGCCAAGGAGGGGTCAAAAGAATCAGATCAGGATAAGGGATTTGGTCTCTTTGACTAATCCCCTCAAAGCAAGCAACTCAGCTAGACTAATTTGTGAAACACGGAAATAATGACTTACTTGTGTTTTAAAAAGTGGTTTCTTCCCAAAGGGCTAAGACCTTCTCATTACAGGGTTTTGTTCTGGATAATGGAACTAGGTATGGGTTAAATTATGTTGTATGGGTCTTAAATCTAATCATATAGTGGTAGGTTATTCCAATATCATTCATTCATGCCACTATTTTTATATTTTCCTATCCATTCAAAGTAAAATAAAATAGATCTGCTCCAAAGCTATATTAGTTACCAATGGCTGTGTAATGACTTCAAAATGTAATGCCTTAGAACATTTCCATTTCTGTGGATCAACAGCTCTGTCTGAGGGTCTGTTATGAAGTTGGAATGAAGGCATTGGCTGGGGATGCAATCAATCAAGGACTGGACTGACTCAGCAAAACTCCCTCCAAGCTCATATGCTTTATCAAGGGCCTTGGTTCCTCACAAGCATTTCCCAGAAGTCTATTTTCTTATCACATAGTCCAATATGTATGGAGGTTTGAATTTCCTTATATCTTAAATGACATGGCTTCTCGCTTTCCCCGAGTAGGTTAACTAATACAGTTAGGAGGACAACACAATAACCTATTAATGAGTCATAGATCTCACTATACATCACTTCCTATTCTAGCTGCTGAAATAGAAGCAAATCATAGATTCCAACCCATTCTTTAAGGAGAATAATTTTGGTACACACCTTTTGAAGAGATAATTATTAAACATGTGAACACAATTAAGAATTTCCTGCCGGGCGGTGGTGGCACACGCCTTTAATCCCAGCACTCGGGTGTAGATGTAACCAACCGTCTTATTAAATAAGAAACACAGAAACAATGTAAAAGAGAAAGCCGAGAGGTCAGAGCTCAGAGCTAAAATCTCACCCTTCCTCCTGCTGTCCCAGCTTCGCGAAAAGAGAGCTACCTCCTG